ATGTAGTTCTCTGTATTCTTTATGGGACCAATCAATAGGTCATATATTATGCATTACGATGCGGCACAGCTAATTGAACCTCGTGTTCAATATACATGCCTTTGAGATTATTTACCGCCGAATGGGCTACTGATCGTACAGGAAAGAGGTAATGATTGCCATATTCATGCCAACATGACTACCACCTCTCGATAACCTGTTCCACACCACCAATGGCCAGGTTGTGCACTTAAGCACCTAGGCTTAATTCAAATTTTATCTAATAAGAGTTGGAGATAGTCGCTCTGGTAAAGCACAAGAATATTAGAGTGGTCAATCCTTATTTGTTGTCCCCTCAATCTCTCACTCATTAATCAGTACTGTAGTATTTATTCCTGCAGGGAGATCACCAAATGTCTGAGAGAATCGGATACAAAAATATACTAGAACGGCCCGAAATAGCACTCAAAAGGAATTTGAATCTTTGTAAAACAAGGAGTCGATTTTAAGCTTGTGTAATATCCAAATTGAGGCAGGTAATAGAGACGGGAAGCCCATCCCGGGAAAGGAGAGAAAAAAGCAAGAAGCCAATTCGATGGAGAGACGGCAGAGTTTATCTTATATCCCAAAGGGGAGTCCTTTGGTTGTTATTATTGCTGCTGAGGAATCTCGTAGGTTTCCGGGTACCCGAAAGCATGGAGTTAATAATTTTACCTGGTAACAAGTGGTTATGACGAGGGGCACAAGGGTCCTTGGCGGTATCCACTACTCTCATTCGCCCCTGTTATCTTAGCGTATCTTTTTGCGCTTCGGTTACTACCGAAATTCATGCTTTAGATGCTTTAGATTAACCTGGCGAATGAGGTTGTTGCCACTACGTGACGGCGTGACAACGTTGAACGTCCGTGCAGCACCTAAGCCACACCGGGAATATATATGTATCGCCGGCGATGACTGTTGATGCATAAACCAACAACTGTCTGAGAAAATATGTACCCCGCGCAGGAGCCGCCTTCCTTCAACCTATGCTGTTACGTATTTGGCGACTTTACTGGCGCTGTTAACTTGCTATCATACCACAAGCCACACCGTTAGGACGGAGTTGGCGGCAAAACTGATGGCCGCCTAGTGGCTTAAGGGACCCCCTCACAGGACAGAATTTACTCTTGAAGTGCGGACACAGCCCTCGCTCTGCCACATATTCAGGAGGAGGCAAGAAACAATAGCGTTACTATTCTTTGATTGAGTCCCAAACATATTCGATTCAACCGGTGCTTAATTAATCTGGAAACCCTGATTTAACCTTGAGGAGTGTGGAGGCTTGCACGTGACATTTTCGACATAATTGCGACAATTGGGTTTCTAGTCATCGGTCAGTATCTAAAGCTTAATTGTGGTAGGATTATTATTACTAGGATATACGAACGTCATGCAGTATCTTCTCCAGTCTACTCTACTTTGGAGCAAGTACCTACATAGAGTACTTACTTAGCTAATTCTGCGCGTTCGAATGTCTGTGAATGCCACCCACGTGTGAGAGAGGGTAAGGCTGGTCTCGCAGGTTGGAGAATTTCTTTTTTTATGTCTCTCGGGTTCTTGGAAACCGCGGTAAGCACATCTACTCCCAGAAACCTACGGGAAGGGCTAATAAGTCTCTCGTCATGGCTTACCTCTTTGAGGACCCAGGAATATGAATCGAGTTTAAACCGTACACACCGGCTAGATACTCTACCGTACACGGCGCCAATTGCCAAGGGGACACCTATTCTAAGGATATTCTTTATCTTGATTCTCCACTTGCTGCGTGCATCGTGGGTAAGATTGCCGATGGTTTTAAAGTCCTGTGTGTGTGTGTATGCATGGTGGCTATGTGAAGCTGAAGTTAAAAAAGATTTAAGGAGAAAGGGGAGGGGTAAATACATATTTACTTAGTTACATATTTTTCGTTTGCATTGGATAGCTGAACGTTCCAACTAGGGCCCGATACACCGTCTCGAGACACAAAGTGACAAACCCACCATCACGGTTGAGGCTCACTTCAGATATCGATCTCCGGTGCCGTACACAGGTAAGCAGCCGAGCCGAAACGAACGAACCAAACCCTCCACTGCACCCGCTTTTCCTTGCCCGAGAAAGAGCGAAGAAGGTGAAAACCAGATCCTCGCGTTACCAGAAAAGCGTAAATGGTGGGTATGACAGCTAGCAACGTGTTTAATTGCTCTGCGTGACCAACAGCCTTGGCAAGACTTGCTCCAAATCAATGCAATGGCTGCATGCGGCGCAGAACGCCCAACAGTAATACAAGCCAATCATCGCAATCCGTGATGGTGATTTCCGAAGTCACAATTTCCATTGGGGGGGTTTCTGGGAGGGCTGAGATGTCATGAAATTATGCGTTCAATGTATGTATTGCCAATCTCCGCTGCCTACATAACTGATCGGCGGGAGCCCGCTTCTTTGGGAAGAGACAGTTGAATCATTACTGACAACTGACAAGAACGAATGTAGAATACATGTGTGAAATAAATAGAAAATAAAAAATAAAAAATAAGAGAATTAGCAAATGAGCTAAGTCATGGTAAGTGGATACAAGAAAGAAAAAATGCTAATATGATATCAGAAAACCTTTAACGATCGTGAGTCAACTCTGGCCAAAGAAGGATAATAAGAAAAGAAAAATAAACAGAGAAAAAACTCCACGCTTAAAATACAGAGAGAAAAAAAAAAATGCCCGCCAGTAAGTAAATAAAAAACTCCGTAGATCTATGCACCCATATACCCGAACCTAAAAAATGCCAACCAAAGCAAATAAACAAAACAAGATGCCCATGTAAAACGATCAAACAAGCATTAACGAAAGAAAGGAAAAAAAATACAGAAAACACCAAACCATTTAACGAATGTCCCAAAGGTGTCAAAAGAAAAAAAGAACAAGAACTTCCAAAACCCCTACCTGCAACCCCAATTATCCTCTTCGTCAGTTCTAAAGATCGCCTCAAAGTCCATCATCACGTCTGGCATTCCCTTCTCGCACTCATACGTCCCACTATCTCTCCCCATCCTCTCCAGCTCCTCCAACCCCACATCCCACCCCACACCGCCTTCCCTCCTCCACCCCATATACTCATCATTGACACCCGCCACACCTCTCCCTCCATACCGCCACTCATACTCCCTGCCCACTCTCAGCAGCCCCACATCACTAACTACTATTTTCGGCCAACTCCTCAAAATATACCCCTTCGTCAGCGGCCTCCCCCTGTACACTCTGACCAATCTCCTCAATATCACAACAGCATCCTCGACGTCTTCGGCGTCGCAGTAACTCGATACCGCCTCGAGCTTGCACTTGAGCGCGAAGCAGAGGTCGACCGCCAGCACGGTCAGGCCCTCGGAGGAGAAGATTATCTCGTTCTGGAGAAGAGAGCGGTGCAGGAGCGTGCTGTTTGGCGCGGTGGGCGCGATATGGGCCCATGTTGATGGGAGGCCGAATTTTTGCGAGGCGCGGTGCAGCGCACGCGTGAGGTGGGTTTGTGTTCGGGGAGTGAGGAATGTTGTGGGATGTAGATTGAGAGATGATCTAGAGGTGAGATGTTAGTATTGCTTTTTGACTAGTGATTACTGATAATGGGTGTGTCTGATATAGGAAGTTGGGCAATGTGAAATGTACTAGGAATGGAATGACTACTGATAATAGGAAAAACTAGTAGTAAAAAACTACGAGTAATATATCTAGGAGAAAAAGGCAGGTACAAAGATACCGGAAATGATAGGAATGTAGTAAAAAAAAGATTTGTACAACTAATGAAAAGAAGAAAGCATCTATACGCAATACTAGTACTGGAAAAACCCCAGTATCTACTAATTCGTATATATACAACTAAAAAACATAAAACAATAATGATAATAAAAAAAGATTACTCACGTCCTATCCCTCGATCCCAAAAACAAGCACCCCAAAGCCTCTCCCTCCAGTATCATCTGCACATGAATCCCCTTGGCAATCAACTTCTGCGAAACATACTCCAGCGCCGCCAGCACCGTCGTCTCCGTCATCATATCCTTCGGATACAGCATCTCGACCTCTGGCACAAACGACCGCGAGGCGGACGTCGGGTGCATATTATTATTGTTGTTGCTGAACGGCAGCAAGTTTGGTGGAAAAGTAGCACTTGTTGGCGAGCTCGAAGGCGAGCTCTGTGCGGATGTGGTTTGGCCCATGACTTTTTCTTTCTTTCCAGATATGTGGTCTTTATTTTTTTATGTGAATGAGGTTAAGTTTGAGGTTGATGTTGAAGTCGGTGGTGGTGGTAGTGGTGGTAGGTAGTGGGTTGGGATCAATGGGGGTGGGATGGGCAGGGCTATATCTATGTATTACACAGTTACGCCTCCAGCACCGTGTAGAGTTTTGGGTAGGAGTAGAGAATGTGAGAGTGCAGGTTTACCTATTCTTGGGACCCTGGTGTTATGCATGTCTCATTGGCTTTGGGTTGGGTTGGGGTCTGAGCGGTGCGGGTGAGGAGTGGGTGTGGTGGGTGGGTGGGAATTTCATGCAGATAGCTTTTTTCTCACGAGTGGGTGGGTGCGTTTATGCAGTGAAGGCTCAGCTGGGATGCTGCTGTGCTTGGAGGGACGAAGCTAGCTATGTCGGTATGTGGAGTAGAGGAGGAGGACTGAATGGGGAGGAGGAGGGGGGGGCATTGGGAGTAAACGCAGTAGGCGCGATACAGGTATCTCTACTACTGCTGTGAGTACTTACTAGCTCTACATACATCTCGTACAGGTGAAAGAAGCAGCATGAGGATGCATGTAGCTTCGTGGAGCAAAGTACTAGTCGGGACACGAAAGCGTAGAAGTGGGTACTTACATAGTAAGACTTACAGCGGATCAGTTCAGTCAATTGCACATTTCCACACACGCTGCGCGCTCTCTCTCTAACTCTCTCTCTCTCTAACTCTCTCCCTTCCCTAGCTACCTCCGGCCCCCAATTCCAAATCTATTCTATCCTTTCCATCCCGGAGATGAAAAAACAAACCGTCGGGAACGACTATCCCTCCCAGCAACTCCCAACCCTAATGATGTGTGTGGCAGGCGCGTATTTTTGGAACATTCCCACCTTGGCACTCCACTCACCACACTCCATTGGGTGCCAAAAAAGCGTGGGGAAAGTACAATGTACTCTTACCCCCATGTACCTACCTGTGTAACGGGATTAAACAGTGACGGACGGACAGGGGGGTGACATGACGGTGACGGCGACGTAGGTGGGAATTTAACGGTTTGTTTCGCTGAGAAACAGAAACAGTCTGCAGCGTGGGCGTTAACGATGGCCGATGCTCCCCAATAGTGCCATTGGAACCCTAATTACACACATCTAACTAACACTCCCCTCGCTGACGTTAAGGTTCGTGATTGATTCCCTTCGCAGCTTCTTGTTGGTAGGCTTGCTTGCCCAATCCATCATCCCCATCCATCATCATCACAACCCCAATCAATCCATCCATCCACTAATCCCCCCATCGTCATCCCTTGCCTACATGTAGCTTAGTAACTGTAGCTAACTAACTTTAGAATAGTAGACCGCATCCATCCCCACCCAAACCTTCGGGAACAAACAACCACTCGCCCAACCCTGGCCCGTCCCCAACAGGCAGGTCCTACGCGGGGCGCGATAGACGCAGGTCGGCGTTCGCGTGTACGTGCATATGCGCCTGCATGTAATAGCTGTGAAGTATTGTAATTAAACAGAATATTACTTGCTCCGTCCATCCATCGCGCGATAGTCAACCACTTGGTTTGCCTATGAGAATTTTTCTCCTCTCTCTCCCTTTTTTTATTTTTATTTTCTTATTTACACGTTGTTCAATTGCCCCGTTCATAGTTGTGATGCTGATATGATATGATAGTAAGCGCTGACACTGAGTTTATAGATACATATACGTAACCTGGTCGGTCGACCCGGCTCTGCAATTGGTACGGTACATACGTACGTGTAATATTTGGGCAATTCTTCACAAAATCAAAGCAATAAACGCAGCATCATCATTTCCCGGCTAACGTAATAACCCAAGCGCTGATGACGATACCCATAGCTGCTATTGCGGCTATCTACCACTTCTCCTCCTCCTACCTCGAAATAGTGACTACTCGGAGGAACCGACCACTGACAATTTTTCACCTTTCCGACAAGTGACAGGAGAAGCACATAGTACATGAAGTATGCGTATAATCCGATGCGCGCATATACATACATACATACAAGTATGCGTATGTATGGGTATCAAGTATTAAGCGCGGTCCGGCCGGCCAGACAAACCACCTGCCTAGAAGATATATCACGAACCCGCAGAAAGCACTACGTGCTAGCCAGGACAGAGTTTTCCTCCTAGTCCGCATAAACACAAACATGGATAACGTGGCATACCTCCCAACCTCCCAACCTCCCACCCACCGCACAAGCGCGACCCCACTGGCCCGCGGTAGATTTGCCCGCCTGTGAGCTCCTCCGCTACTAGGTATTCTACGTGGCAGCAATTGCAAGCGCACCACTACCAGCACCATGACCATGCAGAAGCAATCTAGCCAGCAGTTACCCGGAACCCTGGAGCTTAGAAGCGCACGAGCTCGCGGCTGATTTGCCCGCTGAGGAGCTAGCTAGCTCCTCCACAACCCACCATCTAATATTTCTACGTGGCAGCTAGCAAGCGCACCACTACCAGCGCAGTACAATGATGACGCGGAAGCAATCTACATGCAGTACTCTAGTTACGCAGACCAGCACCCTGGAGCCTATTCTAGAAGCGCAGGATCCGAGTCCGCGGCTGATTTGCCCGCAGGTCGGTCTGTATATATGTATGTATACGGGGGGGGCCGAGGGCCGAATCCTGGTCTCGCGGTTATCTGGCCGTGGTGATTTGTGCCAGCGTGGACTGCATAGTATAGTATACATGCCATGAGAAAGGAAAGGCTGGGAGGTACGTTAAGAATGGCTGGGGAGAGGCCCGTTGCACACAATTGGACATGATAGGGTAGGACGGGTATGTAGAACGGGGGTTTCAAAGCGGGTGGCCCGGATGGACGGACGGTGCGTGGTTGTTGTTCTTGTTGTTGTTGTGCGTTTGCTTCGTTCCGTATATATATATATATATATATCGGTCCTGGGGGTACGTGTATACGCGGAGTAGTTGTGGGTATGTGCGTTGGAAGATAGAGTTCTATCAGAGGTTACATTCTAGATGCGTATCTGCACGAACTGCCCTAGAAAGAAAGAAAGGAAGGAAGCACCTCGCGCGGGCAGCAAGAAAGATTACCTATACATACCAAGTTTCTAGGCAACAAAGACACGCATGCAGCGAGAGTAGAGTAGAGTAGGCAACTCGGCGCGGAATACTCTACGCGAAGCAGAAGCAATCCGGAAATTTCTATTTTCTATTTCTAGCTATTTCAAGATCCAACTACATACAGATCCACCACGATCGAGCGGCGAGCCGGCCGGGAGTTTGATTGCGTTGCGCCCGCGGGGCGAGCCAGCCATGCAGATAACAACTGGCTGGCTCACTTAAGCTTGGAGCGCAGTGCCGAGCGAGCGACGTCGTGTTGGATCTGCATACAGACGGGCCGTTTTTTTTTTATCATGTAGAGTACGGGACGGGTAGGTAGGTGGGTGATTTTGATTCACAAGCCGTTGGGCTTGACAAGCGGCCCGGGAGGAGCATTTTCTATTTGGGGAAATGATTGATCCACGGGATCGATGTGGGGTGGAATGCTGTTCTGTAATCTAATCATATCATACACATCTCTTGGCGCGTGCCAGGCTATGGTGGGTGACACGATATCGGGGCCGGTAAGAGTATATGAACGCCAAATCTATCTCCTCAACAACAACACAATATATTTTTGATTAGAAGCCGTAGAATGATAGAGAATCAAGAGCAGAATCATTCTACGGCCTTTGATTTTAATTATCTTGTGTTGTGGTTGAGGAGATAGAGTTTGAAGTTGGGTGATTTTGGTAGGGAGGCAGGTCAATTTTTTACCCATACAAATTATTAAGGCCGGATCGAAGTCCAGTAAAATACCCCTGTCAATCACCATAAAGCACTCGGTTTATTACCAAAAACGGCTATGATCTGCCATCTGTGAGCTCAAAAACACTTGTTTCACTACTAAATAGGTGATGATTTACCTGATGGAGATTTTTACATGTGCCAAGACCGACCCCGATATCGTGTCGCCCACCATATCATTCACCTAACCCACTCGCCCACCACTCCACTCCACTCCAGATAAAGATAAAGATAAAGATAAAGATAAGCCTCCAAATCACGCCTAACCCATCCTCATCCCATTCATCCTCATCTCCTCCATCTCCTCCATCATCACACCCCATCACACCTATCCCATCACGCCCATCGACCCCATCTCCATCTACCCCGTCACACCCAGAATACCCGGACCCGGTCGGTGCACAGCAACCAACTATGCCAGTGGGTAAATAGCCATCCCACCACCCCCCCCCCCCCCTTTCCCCCTCTTCTCAACCGCACGATAGAGATAGAGGTATATATGGGGCCAGCAAGAAAAAAAAACTGGAAGCGCAATGAGTCAACTGTTTTCCCGGTACGTTTCGATTTTGGGAGAATTGGGTTGGTTGGTTGTAAAGCTAGAGGCGCAACGCAACTGTATGGGTACGTATCGCAATTGCCACTGCGCACGCTGCTCTGCTAAAATACTCTACAAATACACAAGGCCCGGCCGGTACGGTAATATACCACCTCACACATGCTGCGCTGCGCAGCCCCTTCTCATGTCGCAAGTATCCAATACGGCAAATACGGCCGCAGCCAGCAGGAGTAAGAAAAGAAAGGCAGCACAATTAAACCACACAAACAGTCTCACGAGCACTCCGGCCCGGGCAGGACAGGAAGGCAGAAATGGCTAAAACACGCCGGCCCCTCATCGACCACCCGGCGCAAAACCGAGATCCAGATCGAAAGTAAAAACAAAGAGAAGAAAGGGGGGTTGGACAATATCGAACTGTCCCCCCCTCACTCCCTCCCTCCGGAAGAATGATATTGGCACCCTAACTAAATAACTAGCTAAACCAAATAAACAAACAAGCACAAACAAGCACAAACAAGCAAAAACAACGCTCTCCACCGTTGATTCCCTACGAAAATAAGAAGCAATCCGGCCTCACCACTGAAGAAGAAAGAAGAAAGAATACGAAGAAGAATGGAAGAGATAAGATGAGATAGGGTAAAAGAAAGTACGAAAAAGAATGAAAGAATAAAAGTAAAGAACAACAATAAGAAGGATATCATCAGCAACTAACCATACACAACCACCAATTGGCAAAAACAAAGAACCAATAAACCAAAAAAGACTACAACCATCCCTCCCCTTCCTCCCATCCATATGCCACCCGCCCAAAGAAAAAAAAAAGATAGGAAACCGGAAAAAAAGAACCTCGCCCAGTTTTTTTTTTATCCACTCTACATGACCGAGACAAAAAAGACCCACCCAGAAACAACCTAGAAAAAAGCCAATCCGAAGAATACATATAATAAACCTGCAGCCAAACAAAAAAAAAGATACATGATAATTTTTATATCCCCATGAAACGCCTGTTACAGATATACTTTTCCACATTGTTGTTCCGTGATAGCCATAAAAGAAAAATAATAAAAAACCGGGTAGAATAAATAAAAAAAGAAATTGGGGATAAAAAAAAGATGTTAACAAGAAAGAGGCATTATTAGGGGGGGGATGCATCATCAACGACATAACCAAAAAAAAAATATCCAGATGGGGGAATAACACAAACCAGAAAACAGGATGGATAAAAAAAAAGAAACCCAGGAAGGAGTAAAAAGAAAAAGAATACCCAAACAAGTAATAGCGAAAAGAAAAAAAACCTCCTCTCTGCAGCAGTGCACAACAGCCTGCCAGCTCATCCCACATATCTGCAGATCCTCAACGATGTGCATGGTGTCCATGTCCGTGCGCCATCCTCGCTGCTCCCAACCCCAGGCCCAACCCCATGCTCGCACGCTGGCCATTCCTCGACAACGGCCTCACAATCTCCACCCTTCTGCCGCCCAGCCTCGAGCTCGGGCGCTCAATAAAGTCGACGCCCTTCCTCCCCAGGTGGTGGTGGTGGTGGTGCCCCCCCGCAAAGCCCAACCTCGACAGCGGCCGCTCAACATGCACGGGCACGCCGCGCATCCCCGTCCGCGACAACGGCCTATCCGCGAAGCGAACATGCGGCTTGGTACTCTTCGGCTTCGTGAGCTCCTCGGACTCGGCGAAGCCCTCGTCCTCCCAAGCGTCGTCTTCCTCCTCCTCCTCCTCCTCGCCCTCGCCCTCGGTCGTCTCGCCATCATCATCATCGTCGTCCTCGCTCCCGCTCTCGCTGCCGCTCATGTCGGTCTCGTTGTCGTCGCCCGTCTGCACGATCATGGACCCGTCGAGGCTCATGTTTGAGAGCTTGTGTGTGAGGGTCGCCTCGAAGCGGAGCTGCTTGACCTTCACATTATCACCATACTGCGGCTTCTGCTGCTGCGCCGACGACGATGGCGGCTGCAGGTTTGAGCGCGGCTCAAGGGCGTGTGGGCGGACTATCTCGACACCAGGACGCATCTGGCGCTCGCTGGAGCTGTTTGCACTGCGCTGCGGCTGCGGCTGCTGCTGCGGCTGGAGTCCCTCCGGGGTGACAATCTCGTATGATGGACGTCCCCGGCATTCCTCGACGGCTGCGGGGGCATCGGTGGAGGTGTTGGTGTTGACGGGACGCTGTGCCTGCGGCTTGAGGATCTGGGGCGGGGTCTTGTGTGCTGGGACCGGGGGCGGCTTCGACTGCTCGGGCTTGAGGAGCTCGAACTCGTACTGGCGCTGGCGGGCGTGCTCGGAGCGGTCGTGGGACATGGTGTTCCTCATTGGCTGGGACTGCTGCTCTTGCTTAGGCTCGTACTGGTGGGCGCGGTCGTGGGAGCCGGTGCTGCGCATGGGCTGGGACTGCTGCTGCTGCTGCTGCTCCGCCTTGGGCTCGTATTGGTGTGAGCGCTCGTGGGAGGCAGTGTTCCTCATCGGCTGGGACTGCTCGACCTTGCGGCTGCCGTCAGCCACGGGGCTGGGACGCTGGAGGGGGCGCTGGATCTGGCCCTGCTCCGGCCTTGGCGGCTCGTATGGGCGTCCGCGGGAAGAGACGGTGTCGGCGCTGTGGCGATCGGTGGGCGGGATGGGCCTCTGGATCTGGCCAAGCTCCGGGCGCGGGTTGTCGTACTGCTGGCGCCTGGCGGTCTCGCTGGTCTGGGAGTTGCGGTCGCAGGGCTGCGGGTGGGACTGCAGGTCCTGCATGAGCACCTCGTACTGGCGCTCGGTCTCGTACTGGCGCTGCCGGACGTGCTCGCTGCCCTGGGAGGAGCGCTCGTTGGACATGCTTGCGCTGCGCTGGGACTGCTGGGAGTGGGCACGCGACTCGGGGAGACCGCTGTCGTACTGGTGGCCCTGCAGCTCGACGCCGCCAAAGTTCCACTGCGGCAGGGGCTCGTTGCGCTCGTGCTCGGGCTGGAAGGGCCGCATGGGGTCCATGACGTCCATGACGTACATGGGGCGCTCGGGGAGGACACTGGCCTTCTGCTGCAGGGGCTGGGGGAGGGGGGCCTGCTGCTGCTGGACCTGCGGCGGGGGCTGGAACCTCTGCTGCATTGGCTGCTGCTGCTGCATTGGCTGAGGTTGTTGCTGCTGCTGCTTCTGTGGTTGCGGCTTCTGGTACTGCTGTTGCTGCTGCTGCTGGGGCTGCGACTTCTGCTGAGCCGGCGGCTGCGACTGCTGCCTCTGCTGTGGCTGCGTCTGCGTCTGCGGCTGCGACTTCTGCTCCTGCGCCTTGCCCTGCTGCTCCTGCTGGTGTCTCGGCTTCGGCTTCGACGCCGTCAAGTCGACACGGTCCGGAACCGGGCTAACCTTCATCTGCGGGAGTGGCGGCGGCGGGTCCGATCTCGACGCCTGGCGGCCTCTGTGTCGCTCCTGGATCTCCTGCACGGTGTGCTCGATGACGATGTTCGCCACCTTGGGCGGCTGCTGCGTCGGCTTCACCGGCTTGCTGGGCACGTTCTCTGTCTGCGAGTTTGTCCTGCGGGGCTTCTCCGTCTTGCGGGCGGGGGACTGGGGGCGCGACTTTGGCTCACGTGCGGCAGGTGCGGGTGCGGGCGCGGGTGCGGGTGCGGGTGCGGAGGGTTGTGGTGGTGGCGGTGGCGGAGGTGCAGCCTTGGCGTCGAAGCGGGGGGCATCGATGCTTGTGGCGCTGCTGCTCGACGTCTGGCTGGAGGCGGAGGAGTAGGTCTGCGACGACTGCGAGGACGGGAAGGACGAGGTATGGGATGAATGCGACATCTGGCTGTTTGCGCGCAGATGCGTGGGGCGGATCTCGTGGATGGGCTGCTGCTCGTAGCGCGGCACCTCGGGCATTGTCATGGAGCGGTCGGCGGCGGCGGCGGCGGCGGCGGCGAAGAGGCGGCGCGGGTCGGCGGGCATGGCGGGCGGCTGCATGGGGATGGACATGGGCATGGTGGGCATCTGGTGCAGCTGGTGCGGCGGGAGCTGGTGCGTGAACTGCTGCTGCTGCTGCTGCTGCTGCTGCTGGGCGTACTGGAGATGGGCTGCGAGGGGCTCGGGGACCGCTGCGGGCTGCAGGAAGACGCGGAGGCGCTCGGTCAGCAGCGTGTAGTCGTTCTGCTCCTCGGCCGAGTACTTGTCCCACGGCTGCTGCTGGAACATGACGAGCGAGTTGTAGAGCGACTGATATTGAGGCGGTGACTTGCAGCACACAGACCTGACCACGGGCCCGTTCTGCTGGTTGTGGAGCAGAACGCTGTTGACCATGCTGACCTGCTTAGGGGACAGCCGCTGCACCGGGAACGGGATCTCGTCGGCCTTGCGCTTCTCCAGCGACACATTCGCGCCGAACGCGCGCTCGACGTCCTGCGGGATCGGGAACCCGGGCTTCAGGAACGACGCATCGCCCTTGGCCATGTCCTTGTAGTACTTTGGCGCCACCTCGTGCGGCAGGTTCTCCAGCAGCGACCTCCGCAGCCCCCACCGCTTCCTCTGCGCGCGGGTCAGGTCCGGATGCATCAGCGTGCCGTGGCACAGCGCGGCCACCAGCGTCGGCGACAGCACGTACAGCTGGTGCCACATAAAGTCCCGCGTGTACATGTGCTGCTCCAGCTCCCTCGAGCCCATATTGATGATTGAGTCCTGCCTCGCGCCAATCTGGCCGCCCTCGAAGCCGCCAAACCCGTTCTCCGTCAGGATGAACTCATCCCCGGGCCCCGCCTCCCACAGCACCAAGAAGCGCTCCCGCGCGTTGACACGGTAGTCCTCCCGGTCGAGGTCGAAGATGCCGGTGTTCATGTGCACCTCGTGGTGCGGCGTCTTGAGCGTCTGCTCCGCATTGTACAGCCACACGTCGCGCGGATGCTCCATCGCCCGCGCCTCAATGAAGCGCTTCCTGCGCACGCGCGCGTCCTCCATCTCGGGCGCATGCGCCAGCAGGTGCATCGTGCGGTCGCGCGCGTGCAGGCCCGTCATCAGGTGCAGGGCCTTTCGGAGGGCCCAGACGTCGTCGCGGCGCAGCGTGACGGAGCCCGTGGGCTGCAGCGACTGGATCTGCCAGATGGGGTCGACCAGGCCCTGGAAGATGTCGCGGTCGACGTGCTGCAGCAGCTCGAACTTTGCGAAGCCCTCGCGCATGTAGCGGGTTGGTGTCAGGTTGTCGAAGAAGCGGCTGTAGATGGCGTCGGAGCCGAAGCACTCGGTCCAGCGGCGCTGGGTGAACTCGCGGCTGGCGGGGCGGTAGACGATGAGGGTGGCGGGGTCGCTGTTGGGGGTTGTGATGGTGTTGACGACGCATGTGGGGCTGGAAGCGGGCGAGAAGGGCCACTGTTTAGTACGGAGAACGAATCAAAAGGAAACAGAGGAAGAATCATGACCGTGCGAATAGAAAAACACTAGGAAACAGGAAATAGAGGAAAATCAAGGAAATAGAGGGAAGAACTTTCAAAAAAGGAAAAAGAAAGAATGAATGTACATTTGGTTCTGATTATAGATCCACATCTGCTGCTGCCCCGCGCTCTGCGCGGCCGTGTTGTCGCAAAACGTCCGCAGCACAAACGGCGGTACCTGGTGCCTAAACTTCTGCAGCTCGCCCAGCGGGTCCTGGTGCGCGAAGAAGATTTCCGCCATCATTCGGGACCATTCCACGGGCTCCATTTCGGCGCTGTGGGGGGGGGGGGTTCCGAGAGCCTGTTACACTCTTTTTTTCGGCAACTTTTAGCCGGCTATTCCGTGAGTTAGTTTTTTATTTTATTTGTATTTTGGTGATGGCGTTGTGGTGGTGGTGGTGGTGGTGGTGGTGGTTGTTGTAGTAATAGTTCCAAATAGTAGTGAGTGGGCCGGAGTGGGTAGTAATAGTAGCAGCGGTGGTAGGAAAGGGTAATAGTGCGGTTCCTGCTTTTTGTTGATGGCACAAAGCGTAAGTAACAAACACACCCCAACAACAACACCCAAAACCACAACCCACAAATCCACAATCCACAACCCACAATCCACACATCACATCCAGCCCCAACAATAACAACCACAACCATATCAAATATCACCACCGCCATATAATCGATATCGTCATAGCCATCAAACTCCTCCTCCTCCCAAACTCCCAAAGCGGACCAAACGTTCAAAAGGTGAAGTGAAACTTACGCGAGAAAATCTAGAAAGAGATTATTTTTTTTTCCCCTTTGAAACCCAAAATGAAAAATGATGTATGATGATGTTGTTGTTGTTGCACGCACACGCACTCAGCTCCAGAAAGAAGGAAAAGTGTGGGCTACAGGCCGGTATATAGATATGTATGAAAATCCCAGAGAGGGAGAGTATGTGTGTGTGTGTGTGGTTTTGGTGGGGGGGGTGTTTGAGGGAGTGGAGTGGAGGGGGGGGGGAGGATCGAATATGCAAAACTGCTAGTTCCGCAGACAGCCCGGGCGGCCGTTATTATAGTATGGGGGGGGGGGGGGGGGGGGGTGATAGAGATGGAGGAGGAGGGGGGGGTGTGTGGAGGTAGAAAAACGATTCAAATTACTTAGCGTGACTTCTACTGTCCCAGAAGGAAAAGAAAAGAAAGGGACACTCCCACTCTCTTTCGCTCTCTCCCCCTTCAATACAATAACCATGATAACCTACTACACTACACTTTGCTACCTTTACTGCGGCCCGGTGACGAGTTTCCCAATGTTCATCGCCCTGGCCTGCAACCTCCCAGCCAATCGCTGGTGCCTGCTGCTGCTGCTGCTGCTGCACCCACTCACTTACTGCCTGCCTGCACCGGGCGGCAAAAAAAAGGACAAGAGATGGCAGCCAAAAAAAAATAAAAATAAAATAATGTAGATAGGTCCATCCAAAGAAAAAATTAACAGGGTATCTTTTGGTAGAGTTTAGAGAGATACGAGTAAGTACCTACATAACATGTATCGTATCTAGCGAGTGCAAGTATCATGTAGGGTCCTTGCCTGTTCACTTTTTTTATTTTTTTTGTCTAATTTTGACTCTCTACTCTGCCTTCTTCTCCTCCTTCTTCATTCTTCTTCTCATCCATGGGTCCTGTTTCTGTCCTGCCCTGTATGCTTTTCTTTCTTTTTTTCTTCTTCTTGTGGTAGGCAAGGGGGGGAGGGACAAAGGTATATTTTTGCTTCTTCCACTGCTTCTTCTCTGTCCTTCTCTCGCCGCTTCCACCGGTAGGGGGGGGGGGGTTGTAAGAGGGTCAGGTCAGTCAGGTAGACTGGTAGAGAGAACAAAAAAAAGCAGGGTTACAATACGTAGGAGGGAGGGGGGCAGTAATGTAACTCTGTCCTCAAATAAACATTAAAGCGGTTAAGGGAATGACTTATTGGCTACTAATGAGTCGATGATGATGCTTATGATGAATGATGAGTACATGTATGGGGGGGGGGGGGGTAGGGAACAGGTAGGGGGAGGGATTCGAGTGAGTGAGTGAGGTCCAGTCAACCGTGAGTCTGAGTCCTTTTCCGATGAGCTGGATCCGTCCCTGTTCATTCACAGCCCAGTTCAGGTTTTAAAAATAAAGAACTCACCTTTGACAGGCAAAGAAAGACTCGCAAAGAGGCGAAAAAAACGGACCAGGGTTCTACACAATTAGCTAGGATAACGAAATAGGACTGGACCCCTCCCCTCCCTCCTCCTCTCTCCTCACTCACCTTCACCACCCCCGCGTGCATTGCACTAGAATTCAGATGCTGATGCTGCGGATCTCCCTTATGTCAGGTACAGAAAAGAGAGCCTACCAAGGCAGGCAGGCGCGGCGGTATGTCAGACGTATGTATGTCCCATAACAATAACGCAGCATCATGTATAATATGTAGCCTGCCTACTCTCTCCTACCTACCTATAGATGGGGGAGAGAGGAACTCGTGCCCAGGGGAGTTGTTTGTTGATCCCCCCCTCATAATTACGACGACGAACGCATAAACACCCCCCTCCCCCCTCTCTCTTTCTGCCAGGGACGCGAATGGAAAAAAAAAGGGGGGGGGGGGGGGGGGGGGAGAGAGGGGCGTAGACGTTTTGTTTTGTAGATAATGCGATAAACGGCCACTATCAAGCTGCTCTCTGAGGGCGAAGCGGCGGTAAAGGGGGGACCAGTCAGAAGCTTAAGGGTCAAGCCAAGCAAGTCCAGGGTTCTGCACATTTTCTAACTTGCTTGACTTGCATGAGCCCTACCATACCATACATACCACCATAACCAGCCCATCACCCATCATCACCAGTAGAGTACCTACAAAGGTCCATCTCCCATTCCATACCTCCATCTCTTATCATCCGCAAAAAGAGGTGCTGCCCGACCGCCAATCCAATCCAATTAGCCGGTAGGTATGATTCCACACAGAGCGCGGCGAAAGCGAGAGACCCCCCCCCCCCCCCCTCTAAACCATGTACTCTAGCTACCTACCGAGCTTCCTACAATCATATCATCATGCTGCTTGCTTGCTTGCTTTTTTTTTTTTGCGGAGCTAGAGTACGCTAGTAGGTACATACTGTACCTCTTATTACTATGATATCAGAGGTTCCTTTCTCTGGAACCCACAGAACAGGGAATGGAAGGGAAGGAAGGGGAGGCGCGGCGGTCTCAAGAAACAAATTAAAGGTTCCTCGCAAAAAAGCAAATCAGTTGAGACTGTTGAGGGAAAAAAAAAAAAAAAAAAGAAGTATCACCGCACGTACATTAGTAGCCTCTACCCAGCAAGTAGGCAGGCAGGCAAGCAAGCAGCGTGACCCAGGGAAGTGGTGAGTTGAGTATCATAGCTAGAAGGGGGTGAGGTTAAGTAAATCACTTGCCGAAGTAGTTGACTTCTCTAACCAGCTAGAGTGAGTGAGTGGGCTTAATAGTTAGGCTACTCTACTAGGCTGGGACCCCAACCGAGGGATTGCGTTTCGAACCCGAAAAGGACCCAAGGGTGCTGTTGCAGATCACAAATGAAACCACTTTGGAGCTTGTGCTACCCGCGCTCGAGAACCCGTTTAAGTCACTCACTCACCTTCACCTCACCTCACCTCACTCACTTCAAGACATCTACAAGGATAGGGGGGGTATCGATGACCGACATCACCATCCATCAATCTCGCCGTTCTTCATTCGCGGGGTGATAAGGAAGCATGATGAGGGTGGGGGGACTGTCAAACGAAAAGAATAAGTCGTCATCTAATCACTCACTCGCTCACTCGCTCGCCCAAGCAAGCAAGGGAAGCAAACGCGCGCGCGCGAAAAAAACAACAACAGCAACAGAACAGCACAATTGCAACACAGTAGAGTGTAGTATCAAGAGGGATGTAGCATGTACATAGTTGTAAACCTCCACTTCGACACTTGTTCGCCTTCAATTTCTGCCCCTTCTCTGTACATGTCTAGAGTATGTACGGTAATGTACCCTAGGCCTACTCACCCTACTAGATACTCCTGCACAACATAGCTACATGAGTAGGCTACTCTAAAGCACTTAGAGTACTTATGAAACCCACATAGCATGGCATGGCATCGCATAGCATAGCATTCACATACACATGCCATCCATCTATCCACCCACTTGCGTTGCGTTGCGGGACGCCCATTCTGATCCTCCTGCGATGTTCCTGCGGTATATTTCCCCAGACTGCACTGCACTCCCTTCCCCCCATACCTTCATACCCATACCTTCAACTATACATACCCCCATCTTACGTGACCCGCCGCCGCATCCTATCCCCCTTTAGCCCGCAGAGAAGGAAGAAGCAGAAGAGGTAATCAACAATCTAATCTTTCCGTGTTGTGTCTCTTGATCTCTTCTCGTTCCTTCCAACCGTGGAGTACCCGCGGCCGCCAAAAAAACAATTCCCCGATCTCTAACAGAATCGCCATCGCGATCTGGTTCTCACCCCCTTTCAACCACCCCCCCCGTACCCCAACAAATGAAAACAAGGAGAAAACTGCTGGGGAGGGTTATCCATCGACAGTAAGAAAGAGAGAGAAGCCCGTTCGGGTCCGTTTGTTGTTGTTGTTGCTGCTGCTGTTGCGCCAGTCCAGTCGAGAAGATCAATCCAATCAACCGGTAACCGTACCCTCGCTCCCACCCAGGGATCCGGCAAAAAACAAAAAAAAACCCTCGCAAAAAAAAAGAGGTGTGGGTGCTCATTGACAGGCGGCGGCCGGGAAGGAAACTTCCTCCCTCTCTCCCACTCTACAACCCTACTCTACCTACACAACCCTACATACTCGATGTTTCCGAGATAGTAGGGTTATATAAAAGAAAGCAAAAAAAAAGGGTCAACTAACGGATATATGTCGCCATAGCACAGGAAAAACGAGATGGCATGGGAAACATACGAAGTCTACCCCGCTAGAGCACGTCCATGTAGTATGTAAACATCTGGTGTAATCCTAGCTCGTTCTTTGAGGGCCTGCTGCATATACATAGAAGTCTACAGACAGGAACTTCGTCCTCTAGTGTTTCTGTGGTACCTTTTGCTTTGCTTTGCTTGGCCGCCTGCTTTTTCTCTGCACACCCACACCTTACGCACCACTCTACCTAGGGCCCACCAAACAAATACCGTCCCCTTGCACGAGCATCCCATCCATCCATCCATCCATCCACCCATCCACAAAACAAAAAGCAAGAAAAGAGAGGCCTAAGGAAAAGGAAAAACAAAAGAAACCCTACAAACCAAACAGCGGCGATCCCTCTCTCTACATACCTAAACAATATGTATCCTCTCAATTTGCAAACCCTCGACCATAGCCACCCCCCCCCCCCCCCCCCCCCCAAATCTTTATCGTTCCCCGAGAGAACGCCGAGCTGTAGCCGTACCGTACCGGCGCCGGCTCTGGTGACCTTGCGAGATCACATTTTAATTTTGATTTTGATATATCTACTCCACTCTGGCGGCATCAGGAGGGGGTGTGTGATGGGTAGGGTCACATGCGGACTGCGGCGTAACTCGTCCATCCCACCACCCCCCATCCAAATCCAAATCCAGAAATAAACACAAGCAGAAAAAAAACAAAAGAGATAGGTGCACAGGGAAAAAATAGGCAGGACAGGAACCAGTTAAGGGCCACCAGGAGGAAAGAAAAGGACAAAAAAGAAAAATAGAAATAGGTTCACAAGGAAAGTAAGCCACTGACGATCTCTATTTGTTACTCAACCTTGGCAGGGTATATAGAGGTGTAGGGATGGCAGGTGTGTAGGTAGAATAGAGTAGGGGTAGGTGCTCTAGAGTAGACTCGTAATGATCATACCCAGCGACGGGCGACGACGGGGCGCGGCGCGGCGCGGCGGGCTGGCGATCATTTAGCTACCTAGACTAGGTAGAGTATTAGGCAACCCAGGAAGGACGTGATAGGTGACCTAGCTAGGTAGGCCATGTATCTGAAAATAAAAAAGAGCTTGTTCGTGAGATCTTTCTACTCTACCCTCTTCTACTCTATCCCCACTCCTAGTCTCTAAGAATTCTACTCTACTCCTCTTACCTCCGACCCATATAACCACAGCACCCGCCCCCAATATTCGAGTTTGAGCTCGAGTAACGGCAGAAATAGCCTCCCCCCCCCCCTTTCTCCAGAAGATAACAGAAGCTTACTCCTTTGTCCGGTACTTTTCTTACCTCCGAACATAGCCCATGGCCCCCATTTTGCCCCGGGTCTTATGATGGGATGATGGATGGGCATCGAGAGTAGTGGAAATGCATGCAATGCATATGGAAGAATGACCCCCCCCCCCCCTTTCTCCCTCCCCCACTACCCCCACACCCCGCATCAGTCTTTTATGCATCTATGAGTGCTATGCGCATCCACTCCATCTTGAGAGATGGACCATGGGGTGTGCGATGGGATGGGCTAGGCCCGGACGGAGCTCAAGTCATCGATGAGTACTCGATGAGTGAACCCGTACGTACGTACTGCTGCTGCAACGTCCTCATCTCTACCTAATTCTTTCTACCCCCCCGAACACTCATCCGAGGTAGATCTCTACCCCATTGAGGGCAGAAAACTGGATGAATGGGAATTGTATGCACACTCGCGCGTGTCCACGCGCGCGTAAAGTGGCCATTTTGTATCATACGGAAATAACGCCCTCATCGATGAACTTTCCGAAAGGGAAGGGAAGAAGATGGATATGGAGGGATGAATGATACAATATCCTCCCCTCCGGGAAATCCACTCCATTCCCCCCTCATCCCCCCCTTCCCAGTAATCTCCCATATATTACACAGAATCCTTAATAACAGCCGGGACCACGGGCGTCCTCGATTGCATTCTACCCCCCCCCCCCCCCCCCTAAACTCCCGAGCACACGACCATCCCTCGATTCTGATCGTGATTCTCTCCCTCTCGTCCAAAAGTATATAGGTCATTAATAAAAAAGAGTGTAACCGCGGTTAATACATCCTCTCTTATCGTAAACCTTACATTTTTGCCTCCCCTTATCCTCATCGTGATTGATTTGAAGACATATTCCTCAGTATTCCCTGCTCTCTCCGATATCAAGCACATCGAAAACGCCTTCTTCCGCGATTCCATCCTTCTTCAACGCCTCCTTCAATACAACCGGTGGCTCCATTACTGGCTCATCAGTCAAAACCCAAGTTCCTATCAATCACAAGATGGTTAGCTCCCAAGAACCCCAAGATTCAAACTCTTCACCCGATGACGCGCGTGCCCGGGAATCGCAGGTAAAAATGCGGGGTAGGAGATGTACAGGAGCGCTCGAGCGGCGCCGCCGAGTCAAGTAAGGTAGCAACCGCGATCATGTTTGATATAAAAGAGGAAATAAATAGACAAAACAGGAAGGGGACCAGGTGACTCACCCCAGTGCATGCCAATGGCTTTTTTGCACTTTGTCTCAACGAAAATACGAACCGAATCATACGGACTTGCGTGCATCGGACTCATAAACCTAGAGAACCATTACCCAATCGTGTTAGCCAAAACTAAATATCTTCTTGACCAAAAGTCCGTGCTCAATCTAGAAACCGACTAAAAGAAAAACAGGGACAGGTGTTATGATTTTTCCAGAGCAAACCCTCGCCACACGAGTGATTTCCCGAGAGCGATGGCGGAGGGATCCTGACACAGCCCATGATTCTAGGTATACCATCAGGCGACAATGGAGCGCATAGACCTGAAGCGCATATATCTCCAAGTGCGTACAAAGATAATCCATACATGACAAATTCAATGAATCTAGGATGCTCCCTGCGCCCGGTAAAGTTGGAACGCAAAGAAGTGGAATGCTGTAGAAAATTTTGATATTGGTGTGGGGGGGGGTTAAACGTACCATCTTGGCCAGTAGGCACCTATTGGGATCAACCCGAGGTCAAACCCACCCCTCAGTTCTCCGACCTGTTTGAAGGCCGGGCAAACAGGAAGGTCCTTGAACTCTTCGCCGTAATCGTCTACACCGTCAGGAACCTTTGGAACGGCACGGTACCCAGTATCTCTGTTGCAATCCCAACTATAGTCAGCAAGTTTTCGTAGGTAAACCCAGGGATAAGAAAAATAACAGGTATAAAATCCAACAGTAAAGGTAAGACGAATGTCTGAACACACTAATTGTGAAACTAATGGAATGATCGGGATAGTTTCTCAACTTCGAGTGACAATACTCAAATATGTTTGCGCCTGGGATAGTTGCGACGGATAACCACCTCATATCCCAGACATCAAACTGTGCCCTGCCGACCAGCATTTGCCACTCGGGTGGATCCTTGGTTTCGGATGAGGAGTGCTTGCGCAATACGGGATTGTCGGGAAACCGCGATCAGTGCCGAAATCTGAGACAGCCAGACCGGTCGGGATTCTCCGACCAGCCAAGCCGGCAGCGGTACCCCTCGACAACACCCTCTCTCTCTCAAACAAAAAGAAATTTAACGACGACAAACAGAAAAGTGTCACCCACCCTGCAAAATATAATTTTTTACCACCACTTTCAACGCTCCAACTTGACCACAACGTGGAGCTTCGATCATGCAGACCACGGTTGCTGGTGTGCTGACAGGGTAAACATCCAATCCTTGCGGTGATCGCACCAGCTTTCTTTCCTTCTTCTGCAGGCCCTGAGGTCGTCACCTTCAACGGCGAGTCAGTCCCTTCTGGACTAGGAGATTCCGAAAGCTTTGCGGCAGATTCTGAATCTGCTGGAGAGAGGACCAGATCCCGCTCTTCCCACCAATCCATTTCTGTGCAGTTGGGGATCCTTGAAGATGTGAACCTACAGGCGCCACCACAGATTGTACTGTCAGCAGATATTCAAATTCTTATGATACCCGAAAAACATGGCTTCATGTCGTGCTCAATTGGGGCGCGGAAGATCAACATACCATGCTTTATTGCCCAGTGGTACAAAGAACCATACGTTCGGGTGGCATCTCTTCAATTCCATTATTGTGTTGTAATCCATATGGTCGTAATGGTTATGACTTATAACAACGATATCTATAGCGGGGATATCCTTTATCTCACAGGGCATTTTGGTAACTCTCTTCGGACCCATGAATTGTACCGGACTGCATCTCTGGGAGAACACAGGATCAAACAGTGCCCGTAAACCTCCAGGGAACTCGACATAAAAGCAAGCATGGCCTAGCCAGGTCGCTCGGAACTCCTTCGACTTAGTGGAGCGGGACTTTGGGAATTGAGGGGCCACGACAGGTGGCACAGTGTCCTCTATAGCTTTCCCGTGATAACCCCCACAATAGCTCTTATCTAAGCGCGTACTATTTGAACATAACTGTCAGAAGGCGCTCCCTATTGGCATTGTTTGGGAACTGGGGTCAAACATACCTAGCAAAATACTTTATGCCGTCCACAGGTTCCATATTTTTCCAACTGCATGAAACATATTTTTGCGAGGTCAGAACGGCCGGATTTCAAACTTCACCAAGCTCCTCAGGAGAAAAAAAAAAGGAAACGAAAAAAGAACAAAGATTCAGCTCAATTGTTCAAATTCAAGCGTGGGGGACGAATTAAAAAAGCATGTGATAGCTAGGTAAAGCGATATATATATTACCTAGGCCAGGGATTCTGAAATCCTTTTCCACATTTGACATGATGGCTTTTGCTGGAAACATCCTCTGGTACTCCCGAAGGGGTTTCTGGTGTACGCACAGAGGCGTTGTAGAGACTTGCAATGAGGCCTTCACTACTCGACATCTTATTAGATGCAACGGTGGTACTGCACGAGAAACCTTTACGGTAACTTGGGATGACGTCGGTAGTAACAGATGTCAAAGGGCGCGAGTGACAGGGATTTGTGAAACTCCTTTGTGCTGATGTTCTTTGAGAAAATCTGAGGAGAGCGAAAGAGGGATGGAGGCGCATATAAGAACACGTCGATTGATATATGGGCAATAGGTATTTGTGTCTTATGGAGGGGCCGGAAAGGGTGAGAGGCGAGACATACATTAGTAGACAAGTGAAAATGTGAGAGTTGACTGCGTGGCCGTGCGTCAAAATTTACCGTGAAAAGCTTCGAGTGACAAGCGGAGACGGCCCTGTCCAAGTCACGTGTTGTGGTGGGGTATGGGTGTCGTGCGTGTCGATTGAGGCTGTTGACGGCATACAAGAACCAGATACGGTGTCTGATTGGCTCTCCAAAACATCAATGCTCACGCACAGCTTATGTGCCCCCATACATCATGTATCATCATGTACATTACACGGAACTCCAGGACAACGATCCGGCCGATAGGCATCCCCGAGCACAGTCTGATTAGGCTTTTCAGCATCATTAAATCCGTCCGGGTTTAAGGCAGCCAGAGGGAAAGGAGCAAATATTTCTCCGCAGGCGAGTCGGGGCTACCTATGGCCGAGAGCTTATGACTGATTCCACTGGCACTCGTGGCCGTTGCACATAGGTGAGCATACGATAAAATCGTGTCATATAGAATGCACGTGAATCGATTCTTTCTTTGGCTATCTTTATTTTGTTGATTATATCAAGGAATCCGTGATCTCGATCGATGCAGGAATGTTAGTTAGGGCTTGAGGCTCAAAGAAGAGCCCACCCGCTCCGGACGGGTCGATCGTTACTATGAGGCTAGTGGTTCGGTATCAATGCTCCCAAGGGTTAGGTCTAGCTACATCAACTATCACTCATATCCGAGAGGCTTGCAATTGTGCAAGTCTTGGAATATTTACAATATTGCTCTCGAGAGTGGATGGTAATTATGGCCGGCGAGAATCAAAGGCGCCCCAGATAATATATATATATATATTTCCGCTTTGATCGCCAATTAATCCAAGCTTCTATCGAGATCTCCCAGAGGATTGGTCCTCACCCCACCAGGACAGTCTTAAGAGGCAAACTATCATTGGCACGTGAATGTATCACCCTTGGTCCCTAGATCTTGCGCTCGGAAACGTGTTTCCTAATCGCGTTAGTAGCCCAACCGCCAACACCACTGCTGCGCCTGCAAACATAGACGCCGAATAAGGGTTTCTCTCTGTCTCTCTCTTTCATCGCTTCTCTCAATCGCGACTCTCTCTCCGACAGCAGATTTTTTTTTAAATCTCAGTCAGGCTCTCTCAATCGACGTATCTACTTCCTTGCTCACAGCAAGAATAAGTGGAATTGACATAAAAATGGCTTCCTTCCTTACGAACCAGATCAATCCACAAGGTTCGCACCTCATCACCCTCGTGAAAACGATCAATAACCCTACTATCAATACTCATACTAACCCAACACACCCACTAATAGCCGACTCCCCGCACCACGGCGGAGCAACTGACGCCGACGAAGTCGAATACGACCGTTTGCGCGGCCGTAAGTATTACCCATGGAACTCTGTCGCAATCAACCCACTAACAAACCCTCACAGTCGCGCGCGAAGAAGCCCAAAAACGCGGCCGCTGCTTTGACCGGTCCCGCGCCGCCTATGAAGCGGGCGACGGCGCAGCAGCCCACGAGCTCAGCGAGGAAGGCAAGCGCCATGGAGCACAAATGGAGGCCTATAACGCGCAGGCGCGTGACTTCATCTTCCGCGCAAACAATGCGCACCAGCCAGAGGATATGATCGATTTACATGGACTGTATGTAGAGGAAGCGGAAAAGATCCTGGAAACGCGGCTGAGGACTGCGAGGCAGCGCGGCGATGACCATATCCATGTCATTGTTGGCAAGGGAAACCATTCGGCGGGTGGGGTCGCGAAGATCAAGCCTGCAGTCGAGAAGCTTCTTAGGGCCCAGGGGCTCCAGTTCAATAGTGAACAGAATGAGGGTAGGCTAACCGTACAGTTGAGAGAGGGTGGTGGGGCCGGGCAGGGGTCTGGCGGATATGGCGGGCACCAGCAGCAGCAGCAACAGCAACAGCAGCAAAACTACCAGCAAGGCGGGCGGTACCAGAAACATCATCAGCAGCAACAGCAACAGCAGCAACAGCAACAGCATCACCAACAACAACAGCAACAGCATCACCAGCAGCAACAGCAACAGCAACAGCAACAATACCCCCAGAACCAGTACCAGCAGCAACAAGGGCAGGGGCAGGGGCAACAGCAGCCCGTCAACGAGCTGGAAGAATTGGCGAAGAAGGCAGCGCCTATGTTCATCAAGAAGCTCCAGGGCTGTTGTATTATCATGTAATTACGATTGGATCTACGTATTTATCCTTTCTTTTTTGTTTAATGTCTACTTGTAACTATTTTGGGTGGGCGGGATTTTCTTGGTTTTTTATGGCAAGCGTGCCGGCGGGCGGTTATGAGGAACCTGTACACGTATACCCAGAGAGGTATTTGATGATATTTATTTGTTGAAATGATTCATGTAACTGAAATATTTTACTCTGCATGTACTTAACTATGAAGTAACTATTGCTATTACCATCAGTACTTTATAGTACCACTACATGTACTTGCTCTCGACGTTGAGCGGATCCCCAACTAAGTGATCAAAATGGTTTTTACACAAATGCCCAATCATAGTACAGCTCCTCTAGCTCTCAACCAAACCACCGGCCCGTCGACTCCCAACTCAGGACCGTTTGCAGTCTGGATCGAGACTAATAACTTTTACTATAATCCTAAAGGGGTTCTCTATTGATTCAAGAAATAATTTATCTGCTCAATAAAATGTAGTACAATTGAAACTACATATAATTGTGTATCAGCAATTGATTCCGCACAGACCTGGGGTAACTGATTATAGATCGCAAGTGCATCAAGCGTCAGAAAGCGCTCCCGATCAACCACACCTAGAAGCGCAAACCAGCAAGACGTTGGATTTTGATTTCTTACAACCTTAGACACCACCTACCCTACCTCTGCTGTATTTAGGAGGTGCGGCGATGTAGATTGGCTAGCTCTTCTTTCTAGTTTGGGAACATTTTAGTCATGGGATATCACTCGCGCGGATGCGAGATCGGGGATGTCACGGATTCGTGTCTGTTGGTGTGTTTGGTTGGGGGTGAGGGATTGGCCTTGGTATTTTAATATTATATTATCGTGCTATAACTAATAGTTGGACGGCATGGACGTCTACTTCCATAGGTCAGAGCATCTATAGAGCTAGTTAAGACAGGTTGTAGAGCGATTACAAGCAGGGCCGGGTTTAGGGTCAACACCTACCTCAGACCCGAGTAGTAAGAGATTTCGACTCATAAACACGATAGCACCGCTAAGGGATTTATATTTCATACACGAACTCATAAACCAATCAATGATCAAACAGATTTTTAAGAAAAGCATTCAATCATAAACAATCACTCGGTCTCAAATAAAAAATGAAATTATTGCAGATTACTCAAACCACACTTAAGCAAAAGAAAGAAGAATCGTTCAATCTCTAACCCACTTATCCTACGACTCTCTAACTAGATTATGTGGGTGAAGGCCTTGTTAATCGGGCTCCTAACGTTCTGCACGCCCTTCCAGAAGTCGATGGTGGCCACGGCCCTCTTCGAGATACCTTCTGCTGTGAACTCGAATTTCGCATAGACCTTTATTACACTTGTCAGCATTAAGAAATATGCAGAAAAGATGGGGAAGTGTACGTCTTTATATGGCCCTGAGGCACCAAAGCGGTTTAGCCCAAACTGCTCGTGGGCGTACCGTTCCCATCCCTAGATTTAAAGCCATTATCAGCATCCATCCCACCAGCAAAGGATAACTACAACACAAACCATCGTGCTCATCACCTCTACCGACATAATCGGCTTCCCATCCGGCAACACCGAGAGCCTATACTCCTTATCCTGCACATCAAACACCTCCCAGCACGGCATACTGACCACCCTCGCCTTGATGTTCTTCTTCTCCTTCAACCACACACTCGCCTCAATACAAAGACAAACCTCGCTCCCCGTCGACACCAGCGTAATATCCGCACCCTGCTCCTCAAGACACACATATCCGCCCTTAATCGCCAATTCAATGCTCGACCCCTCCAACTGCGGCAGATTCTGCCTACTGAGCGCCAAAATACTCGGCGTATGCTTCGAGATGAGCACCACGTAGTACGCCGCGGACGTCTCATTCCCGTCTGCAGGACGCCAAACCATGCAATTCGGCAGCGCCCTGAAATGCGCCATCGTCTCGATCGGCTGGTGGGTCGGCCCGTCCTCGCCCAGCCCGATAGAGTCGTGCGTAGCGACGTAGATGACGTGGACGTGACTCAAGGCGCTGAGTCGCACTGCTCCGGCGCCGTAGGACACGAAGTTGAGGAATGTGCCGCCGAAGGGGATGATGGTCCCGTAGGCGGCGAGGCCGTTCATGACGCCTGCCATGCCGTGCTCGCGGACGCCGTAGCGGATGTAGCGGCCACTGTAGTCGCCGATCTTGGTGGAAGGGTGCTGGAAGTCGACTGCGTTCTTGGAACGGG